TTTGAGTGCCTGAGATTGGTGCCTGGCAGTGGAAAGCTCACCGCCCCGGTTTGCTCATCATGGATATTTTTGTAGGATACTCAGTTGCTCATATGTAGCACACATGATGTGCATGTGCTGCCTTCATGTGTGCTGCGATGCTGTTAAGTTTTCAGGTCTTCCTCCAAAACACAGCGACGTCCTGGTGATGTCATCGGAGATGAGTCTGTGAAGTGTGTGAAAGCTGCAAACTGCATGATTTGGAGGGTTGTTGTCCTCCTCATGATCTGCTCCGCCTTAGGAGTCTTTTGGGTATTGGAACAGCCAGAAAGATCCATGATGGAAAATCATCCGGCCATGCAGTTCCTCTTCGAAAAGATGACATGCTATCGGATAAGTATCAATATGGAGGATTTCGGTGCGAAATCCCAAAAACCAACATGGTTGTACAGCAGCGCCTTGTCTGCATGTGTGTGCAGTTTCGAGGTCATGTCACATGTGTGCTTGGGTCTTGCAGAGTTGAGATGGTGTCCCTTGCTGCTCAGACCGGAAGATATTGGAGAAGCTTCCCGACTTCAGGCCACCCGAGTCTGAGCTACCATCAGCTGCAGAGAAGCAAGGATGGCAAATGACGGTGCGCGGTGACGACGGAAAAGTCACCGGGGGGAAAAATCTCAAGGATTCTCAAGCCTATCCCAGAGCGTGGGGCTCTGAGTTGGAGTGTGCATGTGGTCATCAAAAGAGCCGGGTCTGTGTAGGCAACTGAGAACCCGAACCCTTGATGCGTGCCCATTCTAAGGTTCGGTGCTGCGCTATCATCCTTGCGGACTCAGAATGACAGAGACATCAAACGACAAGCTTGGGAAGATCTGGCTCATGCTTTGCAGCAGCCTTTGCGGCTGCCTGGAGATTGCAAGATTTCCAGGAAATGTGTGAAGAAAGGTGGCCTCCAGAGGGTCTTTGCATTCCTTCGACGGCAGCACTAGTTGGATGCGAGATGTTTGCAGTGTTTGTACAGTGGGGTGCCAACATGATCTCGGTGGGGCAACCGAAAAAGGCTGCACTGCAAGGTTTGCCGGTGAGCCCATGCATGCATGTTGGTGTGTGTGTGTGTGCATGACGATATGTAAATTCGGTGCTGCTATGCAGGACTATGCCATCATTCTCATTGAAGCAGGGCAAGCTGCAACTGGCTGAATGCCATCGTGGTCCAGAACAAGGCCAGCAGGGTAACGTGCCATGTATGCATGTCAAACCGAACATGTCAGTGCTGCTGTTCCCACCACCCCACCACCCCACCACCCCACCACCCCACCACCCCACCACCCCACCACCCCACCACCCCACAGGGGGTTGGAAGAGGGGCCGCGGGAGGGGAGAGAGGGGAGACGGGAACCGAAAGGGAGAGGGAAGCGGGAGGGCAGGCGGGAGAGGGAAGAAGGAGGCTCACAGAGGGATGGGAACGGTCTGGAAAAAAAAAACAAACACAACCGGACAAAATCGGCTGCAAACCGACCCAAGTCAATGGCGTGATTTGGCGTGACCGCTGGCGTGATTTGGCGTGGAATGGCGTGATTTGTATTTCCGCCCCTAAAACTGACCCGAACCAACCCCGAACGACAGGAACGAACCGACTTCGGAAAGGTTGCTGTCCTATTTGTCGGCATCGCTGCCGTGATTTGAAATAGGTGCTGCCCTGAACTACCGTGATTTGTGGCAACCGCTGCCGTGATTTGTTGCAGCCGCTGCCGTGATTTGTTGCAGCCGCTGCCGCTGCCGTGATTTGTTGCAACCGCCGCTGCCGTGATTTGCTGCAACCGCCGCTGCCGTGATTTGTTGCAAGCGCCGCTGCCGTGATTTGTTGCAACCGCTGCCGTGATTTGTAGCAACCGCTGCCGTGATTTGTTGCAACCGCTGCCGTGATTTGTAGCAACCGCTGCCGTGATTTGTATGCCCTGGGTTCTAAAAACCGCTGCCGTGATTTGTAGCAACCGCTGCCGTGATTTGTGGCATTAATATCCTATAATAATGCTAGGATATATAGTATACATATATACACATAGTACATATATGTACATATATATATATAACGAAATATGTACTATATGAATATATATAATAAGTAGGGTTTCTATATATACATATATATATATATGTATGTGTGTATATATGTATATATATATATGTATGGGTATATGTGTAATATACATTTATGTATGTATATTACATATGTGCATATGTATATATATATATATATATATTATATAGGTATGCACGAGCTATCTGCTTGCATGTCTATATGTATAATCTAAAATATCTAAAGCCAACCCAGCCCAGCCCAGCCCAGCCATCCCGCCCAGTGCTCTCCGTTTGTCCCTCATGCTGTCTTTCTGTCTGCCTGTCTGTCTGGTTCTCTCTGTCTGTCTGCAGAGTTTCGAAAGAGATGCAGAAAGATTCTGTGGCAGAGCGCATGCATGCAGCAAGAATGCATTCCAGTTGTGCCACATGTGCAATAACACTCTGTGCTCTGGAGCTTTGGCTTGCTTTTTTCATGAAGTGTGCTGCAGCCATGGGAAAAGGTCCCTCAGTTACTCACCGAATTTCTTCGAAGAGGCAGCACTCTCGAGATGAGACAGACGTTTCCAAGAGATCTCGGACTTCTGAGGGCAAGAGAGAGCAAGGGAAATCGAAGAGGAAAGCCTCCGATGAAGAGGTGGCTCGGCAGGAGAAGCTCATGAAGGCACTCGAAGCAAAGCGGGCCCTAGATGTTGCTAACAAGCAGAAGAAGCAGAAGAAAGACAACGAAGCCAAAGAGAAGAAGGATGCCCAAAGCAACAAGCCGGCCACGGAGTTGAAGGAAAGCAAAAACAAGGAAGGCAAAGACAAGAAGGAAGACGAACACAAAGAAGCCAAAGACAAGAAGGAAGGCAAAGACAAGGAAGCCAAAGACAAGAAGGAAGACAAAGACAAGAAGGAAGACAAAGACAAGAAGGAAGGCAAAGACAAGAAGGAAGGCAAAGACAAGAAGGAGGAAGACAAAGACAAGAAGGAAGACAAAGACAAGAAGGAAGGCAAAGACAAGAAGGAAGGCAAAGACAAGGAAGACAAAGACAAGAGAGCCAAAGACAAGAAGGAAGACAAAGACCAGGAAGCCAAAGACAAGAAGGAAAACAAAGACAAGGAAGCCAAAGACAAGAAGGAAGACAAAGGCAAGAAGACAAGCAAAGGCAAGAAGGAAGGCAAAGACAAGAAGGCAAGCAAAGACAAGAAGGAAGGCAAAGACAAGAAGGAAGGCGACGAGTCCCAGGTCGTGCGGGGGTTTCTTTCAGCTCAGAACATGTCTGTCTATAGAACATGCGTGACACTCCGTAGAGTTCAATAAGGATCTGCGTGCATGAGTATATACATAGGATGATGAGTCGGAGAATGCCTACGATAAAGCGGCCATCATCGAGGCACAGCTAGCAGCCCAGGAGCTTGCTGCGCATCCATCCCCGGATCTCGAGGGATCAGAGGCATCATGGGATCGTTCCGAGAGCGGCAGCGCTGCGGAAGAGGAGGAGGAGGAAGCTTCGCAGGAGGCAGAGGATGCCCATGCCTGTGAAACCGAGGATCTGCCGGCGTCACAGGATTGCCAGCTGGACGACTCAGAGATGGGCAGCAGTTCGGCTGAGGATTCTTCTGAGGAGGAGCGGGACGGCGAGACCGACTCGGAAGATGACGAGCCCGGCAAGGCTTCCTTGAGCGAGACCGTTCAAGCCGAGGAGGATGACGGGAACGGAGTGGTGCGGAACAGCTTCCCAGATGAAGTTGATCGGTGTTTCAGTTGACGTGTTGTGCATGTCACTTGCAGTTGTCGGACTATGTGCGTTGTGTTTGTGTATCCAAGGTACGACCCATAAGAAGGAATGGGCTGCATTCGATCGTGCAATCAGAAATCGCCAGAAGTTCCCCAGCAGCCTGAGTTCCTACGCCTCCAAATCCAAGACGGATCTATTTGGTGCTTGGCTCGATTGCAATGGCAATTGGGAGGAGCTACCTGGCTGAAGCTAGCTAGGCATGCTGTTGTGCAATTGTCCTCTTTTACACGTCTGATTCAAGCCAAACATGATTTGTGACTTGTGGCATGCTGCAATTCAGGGTAAAGATGACTCTGGAACGAAAGCACGAAAAAAAGAACCTCAATCGGCAGGAAGTAGTTGCCATCCAGGGCAAAGATCTCAAGAAGAAGTATGAAACGGAGGCACACGGTCTTCGAATGAATGTCTTCTTTGGAGCTCATGCTGTGTGTGTTTGCCAGGAAATGTACAAGCAAGTAATTGCAAAAAGAAAAGCCGAAGGACGTTGGTACCAAGACAAGGACTTCCCGGACAATGAGGATGTGCCTAGCTTGCTTTTGGTGGGCCACGTGAGCTGCATGTATTTTTCCTGCGTGACCATTCGTTTTCTGAGGAAGCCTGGTACTATATGCCACAGGGCCACCTGCTGCGCCTTGACAACTCCACGAGCGAAGCGCAGAAGCTTGCTGTTGAGCAAGCGATGGACGAAGATTTGGCAAAGATTTTGGAAGAGACTGGTGTGCTGCAGGCAGGCAGCCTGCCTTCTGCACATGCAGCCACCGAGGCTGGTGAGAAAGCCCTCATGGCCATCTTCGACAACGAAGGAGCGGTTCAGAAGCGAGCCGCAAAGCCGAAGAAGGATAAAGAGGCGACTGAGGCTGAGGAGATGAAGCCCAAAACCCTGCAAGAGTTTCTTGCATGGTTTCAGTCATTTGAGTTGAACCTTTGCATGCAGTATCCACGGTTGTGGGTCCTTGTGCTGAGGCAAGTTGCAGAAAAGAAGCCGGATATCCTAAAGGATTCCACGAAGGCTCGGGAGACCTCCATCACCCTGACCAACCTCAACTACGGCGGCGACCTATCGGGTCAGCTGCTGACGTTCTCGAAACAGATGGAGCTGGCCTACAAGAAGATCACCCAGCTTGAGGATAAAAGTGACAGTCAGAAAAATCTGAAGAAGATTCTCAGATGGGTGGATGCGAAGAAGCCATGGTTCAGACAAGCCCAGGAGCGCAGAGTTGCTGTTGGTGCAAACTTAAGTCTAGATCATGGTCGTGCATTCGGATTCGTTAACCCATGCAGTCGCTCATGCAGGCAGCAGCAAACGGCCTGCAGTCTGGATTGAAAGCCAAAAAGAAAGCAACAAAGAAGGCAGCCGCCAAAGGTGCTGCCGCACCCAGTACCGCAAAAGCGGAGTGATGTGCTTGCAAGATGCACATGAGGCACTGCACGATTTGCGAGGAGTCGGGACGGAAGCATTATGTGGGATAGACTTGCCACACGGCGAGCCCTCACAGGGACGTGCATGCACACTTCAGGATTTGTGTGTGTGTGTGTGTGTGTGTGTGTTTTGTTGAATACATTATAAGAACATATGTGCTGTGTAAAGTTCCGAAGTTAGATTGCAGAATGCTTTGAGCGATGTGTGCCATGCATGTCACCGAATGCCTCTTTGGGAAAACACTCATTTTGGCAAGATGTGCAGCTGCTTTCGCGAAGGCCAAGAGGATTGTTTGGCTCGATCGTTCTGCTGAAAAGTTCCGATGCTGGTTGTTTGCATGCGGTTGTGTCCGTTTTGAGGAATTGCTGAATCGACAGCGCTGCGGATCCTAATTTTGATATTGCTGCCTTGATTGCAGGTGTGGCTGGTGATGGGTTATCCGAGCCGAGGCTCGCCCATTTGGGTCGTCACATGCTTTGGTTGTAGTTCATGTTGCTGCAATGCACTTGCAAACACAGGCATGCATCCTTTCATCGGAGACGAAACTATGGCTCTCTGCCACATTCTCATGCTGCAGAAGAGCTTCTGGAAATGATTGGTAGTGGGAAGATGAATGTGTCTCATGTACAAGGTCTGGCTGCAGCAATGGTTCGCGACGGGATACCCCAAGAATCAGTTGCTGGTTTTGCAAGTTTGGGCTCGTTCGGTGCCCATGCTTCGAATGCTGAACGAGACCTGCATACGTGGCTTCGCGGCATCTATGGAATGACATTGGAACCATACTTCATAGATGTCATGCTTCAAAGAGACGACATTGGTGGGGAGGAAGACACACCTTTGAAGGAGACCGTGTCCACAAAGATACCTGTGCTCCTACCACACGAGGTCTTCTCTGCGATTCATTCTGCAAGCGACTATCAGGATCTGGGGACAGAACGAAGAAAGACATAGTGTGTTTTCGGGAAAGAGAGAACACAGAGAGCGAGAACGAGAAAGACGAGCAGCAAGAGCAGAGTGCTGGTTGCATGCTGTGTTTGTGTAGGTTTGGGTACGTGTGTATGTGTGCGGGTTGTATGCGTGTGTCTGTCTTGCTCATGTGTCAATGTATAAATGCCTCGGTCCTAGATCCCTGCCAGTTTGGTTTGAGCATGCTGGGGCACCACACACCGGCTGCGATCAAAGAGTTTTGGGAGCACTTGCAGCGATTCTCGCCGGCAGAAGTGAAAGATCATCCGGCATTGCAAAATTGCAAGCTCAGCAAAATGATACCGTTGCTGATTCACTATGACGGTGCAGAGATGTACAAGAATTCTGAATACAACATTTGGTCGTTTTCGAGCGCTTTGGCATCATTATTGGAGGTGGATTGCTTGCAAACTCAATTCATGTGTTGCATCATTCCTCAGCGTGCCATGGAAAACAAGCAGGCCTGCTACCGGATTTCCTGTGCTTTCATGTACGAGCTGCATCATGTAAGTGTTTTCGACTGCCTATAGTGAACATACAACTTACGCTTCGAAGGTGAAGGACTCCGTGCACAAAGAAATTGCGAGGCTCATGAGCTGGTCTTTCGACGTCTTGCAAAGCGGAAAATTTCCATCGACTGGCCTCTATGGTGAAGAGTTTCCGCCTACGTCGTCCCGCGCGAGAAGAAGTGGCATGGTGTTGGCTGCTGAATGGAAGATTCTTGGGTTGCAGCTACATAAAGAAAAATTGGGATTGGCAGTTTGAATGTACGTACCGTGTGGGGCATGCACTTGGGGGCCGCTCTCTCTATCTCTATCTCTATCTCTCTCTCTCTCGCTGTCTCTGTGATGATCTGAGGGCATGCTTCTACGGATTTCGTGGGGACCAGAAGGCCAGGCGGGAATGTCATTTCTTCACTCGGCACTACAACTGCACTATGCTGTGCGACCGATGCTGTGCGATGAAGCCAGCAAAAACAGTTGTGGACGGCATGAACTTCAAAAACTTTTCGGCAGATGCTCCGTTTCTTCTCACGACTATTGATCACGACACATATGTCAACACAACTCCTGCAGCCGAGCTTTCACCGTGGACGGCTATGCCAGG